GGATTTAAGATACAGTAGTTCTAATAGAACTGTGCTGTAAATGAGCTTAAGGTCCATTTACTTTTATGGAACAAATGAGGTCCCACTGAATTCAATAAGACACTTCCAGGTAAATGTGTATAGAAATGCTGATGTAATTTAATTTTACTAGATGTAGATTGAGTTGACTATATGAAATCTGAAAAACATATCCTTTTGAGCGCTCCATTTAGTCTTCTGGACAATGAGATTTGAACTTAAAAAGACTTGCATTAAGTGTGTTTAGGATAGGGACATAATATTTAGTCTCATTTAAGTCAAACTGGTATAATTGTATATTAATTCCGTCCTACTTTTCTGTTGTCTGGATTAGCAGGTTTACTAACTTCCTGTTGGACAAACGCATTGTTATTTTAACTGGTGAAGCTGTTATGTTCACTCTGGGCACAATCCACCAAGTTTTCCTACTATGCATAGGAAACTACAAACGTCCCACTGAGTGGAATGGAGATGAGCAGCACAATGAACAACAGGAATAGTAATTCAGATTTAAAACATGTAAAAAATTATTTTTAATAATATATGGCAAATTATCCTATTGATACAAGTAATATTTCATTTCATATTAATTAATCATCCATGGTATGCCCCAAGCAGGTGCATTAATTTCAGTGAGGTTTACTTCCAAGCGTGTATATTTAAGAATGCAGCCTTACAGCTCAATACTGAACTGTGCTTTTGAGTAAACAAGCCACATTGAAATGTGGACTTTCAAGTAAGCGCAGTTAGGATTACACTCGAAATGTGACTGGCAAAATTGTCCTTATATGCTTGTTTACATCTCTGGAGCTTCTAGTAGAGGTGTAATAAATAAATATTAACATACGATAAAAATCAGTAACATGAATGCTGTAGAAGATACTTCTACTGGCTTTAGGACTATGCCAAAGCCCCTGGCTTTTGTTGTAAGTAGTAAATGCAGCTCTCGCATGCTTAACTCTGAATAGGAGGAATAAGGAGTAGAGAGACACTTTATCTACTATAAGACCTAAATGGTTCATACAGGGCAGTCTAAGCCTGTCCTGCTTTCCTGCTTGTGTGCTGTGCAGACAGGCAAAAGAAAAACATAGAATAATTTCCATAGTTGCACTAATAAGGGTTTAGATGCACAGAATGTGTCTCTACACCTCCCTATATATAACCAATAAAGTGCTCTATGGAGACACATACTAAACAGTATATTTGTCCATGGGAGCAGATAAAATACAACACATCCCTTATTTTGAACAGCACAGCTTCACATCGTTCCTTAAGTCTTGTTTTTAACCTTCGTTTGGCAACTTTAGGCCTAGGGAATCTACGGGCAAAAACTACACTTCCCAGCAACCTTGTTGCCTTTCCAGTTTTACACACAAAACACGCCGACCCCACCCCGCTTTTAGCCTACTGGTTAACGCAGCCGACCAATCTGCAGAACCCCCTAACGACTCCAGCCAATGGGAAGGCTGTTGCTAGCATGGTGCTGTTATTTTTAGAACAGCCTGCGCTCCTACACCTTGCAGGTTGTTCTGCCTAGCTCAGTGCTTGCGTCTGAAGTTACGTCGACGAAGGCAAATGCACAGGCGCACTGCTGAAAAAGTAGTCCCTGAACCGTGCGGAGTAGCACCTGCAATTGAGAGCGGAGAAACGTGCTCCATGAATAGTTAAAATGCCATCTGACATCCGTGCCTTGTGGGGTTTTGTTTAGGGGCTGTGAGCTGATTTGCATACCCTCCGGCATTTGAAGGATGAAAATAAACAGGGAAATAGAGGTGCGCTTCTGTGCAGCCTGAAGTTCGCGTGCCTTAACGCAAGGCAGCCAGTGGGGAGATCTGATGGCGCACGCCAACCCCTTATGCCACCGTATTACAAATAAATACATATATTCTACGCTCGGATTCCAACGGGAAAAAAAATAAAATTGGGTCTGTCGATCGACGAATAGGACACGCTCGCGCACACGCAGATCTCAATAGTCTGGTTTAACCACGGGGATAACTCCCAAGAAAATTATGGGGGGGGACGGTATTTGGGGAATGGATCGCAGAGATCCCTCAGGCCCAGGATCTGTTTTCCGTGCCAGCAAAAGGTCTGGGTTGTTGTGAAGCGAGAGCGTATCCTGAGACTGCGCAATGTGCCTCTGAGGGCCGTCTCCATAGATTGAAGGGGAAGGGGCCAAGACTACCTCACGCATTTTAAGTGAGCTCTTAAGAAAGTTCACGCACTCAAAAAGCAGATAGTTTTAAGCTTCCCACAGAGCTGTGAAGTCTTAGCCCACGATTTCCAGGCAAGGGCAAACCCTCCCTTCTCTCTCTCCCTTTTAAAGAAACTAACAGCTGCCATTTTTTGAAAGATCCTATGGTCGGGGATCCAATTTCCTGCTATGACAAGACTATTTTAGCAGGGCATGGCTCCCGAAAGAGCTACAGGAACAACAGCCAAATAGGTTTTTGTCTCCGATTCCACACCAACACCACTTTGTCAATGCTAGATATAGACAAGTTATCGGTTGCACACCAAAGGAGTGGACTCTTGCATCTAATGAAACGGATTCTCTTTCACGAAAGCTCATGCCATAATAAATGTGTTTACATTTAATGTGCCACAGGGTTCTTCGATGTTTTTGCAGGAACCAGCTAACATAGCTACAGTACTTGTCTGGAAAACGCTACTTTTGAGTAAGTCTCATCGAACTTAATGGGGCTTGCTTTTGAGTATACATGATTTCTCTCTTGGTAAGCCTATTCTGCAGAACACCCTCAAAAGCAATGGGGCAGGAAATTATCTTACTGTTCTTTAAAGAAGATTCTTGCCATGCAGAGGTTTGAGAGGAACTTCATAATTAAGATGGCTTAAAAAGATGGCTTGAAATTGCTCTCCCAGCCTCCTCAGAGTGGTTTCTCCTTAGGATGGCCACAAGGAATTTAAAAGCTTACCCCACTTACACCCACTTAATGTTTGGGAACAACGCATGGAAAAGGATGAGTGAAATCTGCAGTGCAGGGTATTTAATTTGATTTACAGAGACAAGTATTATAGAGTGTCAATTTCACCTGTCAAAATATTGTATGTTTAAAGTGCAGGTGGATTTTTCCTGAGAGGTAAATGTAATATAAACAGGTACTAAGAGCCAATTGAGTCGATAAGAACAAAATTTCGACTACAATCCTCCATTCACTGAATCAGCTCACAGAAACACTTTTATGGCATAATTAAGCCAGCTGCTACTATCATCATTGTCCTGGTTGAAAAAAGCCCATCACTTATGAAAATGAGGAAAGCAACACAATTTTGATTTAGTGGACTAAAATTATGTACATATTTTATAATAAGAATTAACCTACATTAAGCAGTTCTTAACTAAACTGAATAATGTGTTTGCAAATAGTGGTCCTACTCCGTGGTACAAGCGCTGTTGCCCTCATCTACAAATCCATCCTAAACATGTTTAGCTTGTCATTTTATAAAATGTTATTTCTGCAGCATGTTTATTTTTTAAAAATCTAAGCACAGAACCCAATTTTTGTACAGGGCCTACGCTTACCACTAGCCATATGAGGCAACAGAGGCAGCCTCACAGGCATTCCTCCTGGCTCCAAGATCCACTCTTCGCTGTTGGATGCCAGAGCTCCGCCTGCCCCATGGCCTGGCCGCCCTAAATGAACCTGCTTCCCACAGGTGTGGCGGAGGCCACTGCCCCATGGCCTGTGATGAAATAAAATCCAGCTACCAGTCCAGTTGCATTGTGTATATCAAATGGAAGTGCACCATCTTGTGCTGCACCTCAGGCTGCAAAATGTCTTGGGCTGACCCTGCAGTGAGCATTTTTCTAATGCTGGACTACATCACTTATCACCCCTGTCTGTTGGCTGTGCCGTCTGAGGCTGGAGTTGGCATCTGACAGCACCAGACAGGAGGGTTACACAGGACTGGGTGAACCAAAATGTTCAGTGGGAAGAGGAGAGATTGTTCAGTTTCAGTCTAATTCAAATATCCTTCATTGGTATGATGACATACAAACATTATAAACATTTAATGGAGTAAAGCAGGAGGTACAGAATAGGTGTATATTTGTTCAAAGCTACGGTTCTTACTGGAGAAGTAAGCACTGCTGAATATCATGGGTTTTGCTTCCAAATAAACATGCATAGATACCACCAGTCTATACAATGTTTCTTGCTTCATTTGTCAGAGGCAGGAAGCTGCCTTATATCCAATCAGACTATGCGTCCATCTAGCTCAGTATTATCCACACTGCCTGGCAGCTCTCCAGGGCTTTAGTCTGAAATCTTTCTCAGCCCTAACTGAAGATAGCAGAGTAGAATCAAATATAATTACCAACCCTTGTCTCTATATTCACATTCACTAATTGGTGGTGAAAGGTGCTAACCACCCACTCACACCATTAGCGAGGCTTAAGGGTGGGAAATATGGAATTTTCCCACCTCCAGCAAATCCTCAGGGGCGGGGAGCATTTCTGTCTCCATAAATGATTATGTGCATGGAAGAAAGCTTGTTGGTACTGTAGTTATTGCAGATTAATTAACTCAGATTACAAGGGGCAAAGTCTTCAGTATAAAAGCTTGATCTCTCATGCAGCCTAAGCCTATGTAGGTTTATTCGGAAGTAAGTAAAGGGGGTCCAATCTATTTAAAATTTCCTTGGTTTGTTCTCAGGAGGGTTCTCTGAAGGGTTGAATACAAGTTGTTGCCTGTCACAGAATGAAGAGGGGAAATTCATTAAAACGTACCAAAATAAATAAATAAATATCCGTGGCAAATGACGGACTTTCTTTACGGGAGGAGTTTCCAAGCATCTGAAACAATAATATAACGCGCCCGGCGCAGAACGGGTTAATTTAAAACCAGTGTTTGGGAAAGTAGTTCCAGCCTGCCCTCCTTCCCCTCCCCTTCCTTGTCCTTTGCAGGACGCGTCACCCTGGGTGTGGAAGGGAATATCCATGCGCAGGGTTGCTAAGGGTGAAACTTTTCATTTACTTTGCTCACTTTGGGCCAGGGAGAGGGTGGCTTCAGGTTCCCTGCGCAGGGAGGGAAGGAAGGAAGTAGGGGGCGCCCCAGTCAACATCCCCCCACCCCACTTCTGATTGGGCCTGTAGAAGGGGGAGAAGTTATCTAAAACAGCATCCATTTAATTTTTTTATATAAAAAAAAATCGAACGCCCACCACCATATCAGCACTTTGTGAGAGAGGAACTCCCAAGAAACACCCTGGAAAGAAAAAGAAGCCACCAAACCATCTCACCTGGTGCTGAAAAAAAGAAGTAAGTGATGGCTTATTGCTAGAATTGAGGGGTGATGAGGGCAAAGGAAGAGGAACGATTTCCATAGTCACACAATTTAAATATTTTCTTGAACGATGTTTTTCTTCCGCACGCCGGCTTATCTCGTTGGGGTTTTGCTTGCGCCTCGTATATTCCTTTAAGGAACGAATTAATCGCATTGTGCTAATAAGATTTTCAGAAGCCGCCAGTCTTCCAACTCCGCTTCTGGTTCTCTCAAGGAGAGAAGGGCTGGCTTCTACTCAAATCATCGTAGGCAAATCTGCTCTGCCCCTTTAAAAGAAAGGAGGAAAAAAAGGAATCCCTGCCTTAGTCTTAATAGCGCTGTGTCTCTTACACGGCACTCTCCCCCCCCCTCCAAAAGATATTAATGTTTTTCATTTCGTGGTGAAGGGAGGTTGAAAGTCATTTGGGTTGAACGATTGAAAAATGTCCCCGGTTCACCATTTTGTTTCTACTCATTTTACCGGAGTGGATTAAAAACAAACAACAACAGCCACCCCAGATCCCTCAGGTAATTCGCGAGGATCGAGTCCTTGGACCAACTATCGTGCAAAAAACCCTCCTCTCTGCCTTCCTCCCAGGTTCGGGTGAATTAGGGGAGAAAATTTCGATCCTTTTTAAGAATGTAAACGGTGGTGGAGGTAACAACAACAACAACAACAAGAAGAAGACCAACAGGGCTGGACCGAAAGGGGTGGCCGTGGGGGATCTTTGGGACCCGAGCGAGCGAGAAAGAAGATGGTTTCTGTTTCGCTCAATCCGGATCAATACTCAAAAGCTCGGCTTTTGTCAGGAAAAAAGATGGTTCCAGCCCGTTTTGTGCTCGAACTTTCTTTCCCCCTCCCTCCTCGGAATAGAGCCCCGGGGGCCTCTTTAGGATTTCTTATGTCACAAACGTAGACCTAAACCAAAGCAAATACAGATATATTTATATTATAGTGTGGAGTAAAGGGGAGGGGGAGAGAAATCCAGCCTCCCGCAGCCCCACAGCTTAAGTGGGATGATGAACTTGTTCTCCTTCCCGCAGTGATTTAATAATGGGATGGAGGCGGGGAGGCTCAGGAAAACAAAACGCCAGCACTGGACTCGGTTTGGGGAGCAGCTTTCGGTGTGGGAAGGGCCTTTGGCCGTCTTCTTCCTCTCATTCATCGTGACAGCCACCCTGTGAGGTAAATTAGGCCCAGGGATCTGCCTCGGAGGGCCCTGCAGGTGCGGGCCTGGAGCCCAAAGCCACATTTTTGCACTGCCCTCGAATTTAATTTTGGGGTGTCACCTCCGCGCCCCCCCCCCATTATTGAGAAGGGGGATTTCGGAAGGGAAGGCTCTCGGCTATGGGGCGGGGGCGCCTGTGACCCAGAAGCTTGGGCGGCCCTGAAGGGAGAGCCCAGAGCCTGGAGGTAAAGGTCAGGGCCAGATCACCTTCACTCGGCCTACGCTTCTCCTCGGCCTCCGCCCATATTAGGAAGAGGAGGCTGCAAGCGGTTCTTTGGTGCGTGCATCCCTCGGGGAGGGGAGGCGGAGGCCGGCTGCTGGCTGGGGAGGGAACGGGAAGCGGCCTTTCCTCCTTCTCGCCCCCCAGTGCGGGCCGCATCTCCCGGCTTGGTGCCTTGGCTGTCAGTTTCAAAGCGCACTTGAACTAGCGGGGGATTTACTTTCGAGTATTGCAAGGACGCCTGGCCAAGTCTCCGTTTCGTAGGCCTAGCAGCTCTGCCTGTGTGTGTGTTGGTGTGTCTTTTTTTGGGGGGGGGGTGTTGTCTACTTCTGAGCTACCCAGCAGGAGCAGATGTGAGTTGCAACCGTAACAATAAGCCCTGATTGAAATTTCCTCCGCTTAATCCATCTCCCGCCCCGCAAGCCGCCTCCCCGCGCGGGGGAGAAAGAGGCCGAGAAATTAGTTATTCCACATAGAAATCCAACAATGCAAGATGGCATGTTGAGGCCGGGGGGGGATGGAGGGGGGGGAAGAGAAGCGTTGAGCAATCGAGCACAGAGAGCGCATGCGCCTTGGAAAATTTTGTGCCGTGCTCCACTGAGCAGGCGCTCGCTGTCTGGGCCAGCTTTGGCGCAAAGCATATTGAGAAGGGTAGTTAAAAGGCAAAGTAGGTCACTCGCCCAGGCGCTGCATCTTGTGTAGGAGAAAAGCAGGGCTCGCTACGTAGTACAACTCCCGGGACACTCCAGTCGAGGCAGAGCGGAGGGGAGGGGGCCAGCCTTAATGGGTGTTGAGGCTTCCTTGGCCGGGTCATTCATCCGTGGACCTTGGCACAGGCGATTATTGAAGTTGTGGGGCAGGAGGCGGGCGGAGAGCAGGTCCCCGTGCGGGACGGTAATGCCAGTTTTGCGTTCGCGAGGAGGCCTGGGAGGGAGGTGCCCTGTGCAAATAACGCCCACAGACGCAGGAGGTTTTGGCAGGAGAAGAGGGAGTGGGTTGTGCAATCGTGGATCGAGAACGTGTCTTCCTCGGGCTTGCCCCTCCCCAGGCACCGTCGATTTGTATTGCATCTGTACTTAATTCAGATTATCCTCTGAAATTGGGTGCATTGGTGAGGTGGGGTCAACTGAATCGAAGGTTGCTCTTTTGCTTGGGTGTGGCTTGCAATCAAATGTTAGGAGACTATTATAAGATTCTGTCTTATATTGGGATAAAGCAATGATGGCTTTATGAAGCCAGTGTTGTACCGCTCCCCCCCCCCCAATAATTGCCGTATTTTGTGTAAGGGTCAGAAACCTAGCTAACAAGGTCATTATTTAAAGTATTTACTCAATATGACTGGACCACTGTAGAATTTCCTCATGTGCAAGTGATGGACCTTGGCAATGCCTGTATTACTGAGACATTATACCCTAATGCCAGAGATTGTTCTTGCATCAAATCATAGGCAAATGTCGTGTAGCTCATTATTCGACATTGTGTCATGTGCTTGTAATTGTCTCGTGCAAAATAAATTGCTACTTGCCTCTGACATTTTCAGAACCATAGTCCTGAGGTAACGTGCACCTTTATTGATGAAGTTCTGCAGAGAAAACAAGGGATTCCGTATTGACTGTTATGCTTTGCCACCTGCAGTCGTCCCCTGTGTAGGTTGCCATATTAACAGCCTAGGGATTACTGAATCCTGATGGATATAAAGCTTATTTTGTTGACATGTAAGCTAGATTTATATTCCTTGGTGGACCTTTTTTCTAAAATAATTTAGACTGTTGTGCTAAATTATGTGGGGTCAGCTAGTGTTTGATTATTGTTATTTGTATGGATGCTATAACACAAACGTTTAATTTATCATTGTAGTGATAAATGCAGCATGGTATATCCAAAGATATAGATTAGATATCTGTAGTTTTTCGTACTATCTTTGAAGACTGACAACCATCAAAGTTCTGCTTGAAGAAAAGTAATACATTCCTTTCATTTCCCTGAGAGAGAAAGAGCCAGATGGACAAGGGAACTCCTGTCAGAGACAGTCTTTCCATTCTCCAGCTGTAGATGCCTGTCATAAAGCTATACTATGAAAGAGCACCCCTCAATCAGGACAGTGGTATTTAGGTCTGAAGGTTGCGATCCTTTGTACACTTAACTGCAAGTATGTCCCTTTCAACTTGGTGGTATTTACTCCTGTGCATAATTACTCTGAAGTGAGCTGTAACTTAATATTCTGACCAAGGCATCCAGCATGTACATAAGCAAAAACAGTTTATTTCCTGAAAACATACTTGTAGACAGCTCTGTGTCCCTTTAGAAAGAAAGAAATACTATCAGATCTGAATTATAGTAGCTAGTTTCCAAAATGTGGCATCCTTATAGAAATATAAGGTCTCTTAATGCCAGTCATGTATTACCCTCTCAAGTTTGCTAAGCTTTCAGTACAGCAGACTGAAACCTTGCTATATGTGGAATAAACACAGAAGTAAGCCTATTTGTTTACTGAGGGTGGTGTGGGTTGAACTTGCACATGAGCTTCTGTTCCAAGCCGATTGTGTGCTTTATGGTAGGGGTTCCCAAACTGAATATCATTCAGGTGTTCCACAGCATGCTGGTGAAGGAATTCTATAGAATCCTATGAAATTCAAATTGTAGTACAACAAAATAACAATATAAGAAAAGAAGAAGCAATAAAAAGACAATTAAAAATCATACAGTATTTAGCACAGTGCATTCTGTTGTGAACTGCCCTGTGATCTTTGGATAAATGGCAGTATGCAAATGTAATAATAAAATTAAAAATAATTATAATTGCTGCAAGAGGCATAAACAGAATTTAGGGGTTTGCCATTGCTTTAACAATAGTTCTTTAGCCAGAAATCCATTGGAAGGCTCCATCTTAAAGAGTTTGTTTGACTGCCTAGCTTGAAAATGTTCTGCTTCTAGTTGACCTTTCAGAAATTTGCCTTACTCAAATTTCTCCTGTGGCAATTTCCATTTTAAGAAGCACATTCAAATAGCTGTGATAAAACTTCTCACGGTTTAGTAACTCCTGAAAAACAAGCTCCAAGGTCTTGGGCTGTGCTGTTAGCGGTCAGGCCATGGTCAACTACATAGGACTGCATTCAGAGGTATTTTTTTAGAGAGCTCTCTTTTATTTGCTGCAACTTGATAATATAGCAGGCATAGAATCGGCAGGTTTCTGTGGACATACTTAATGCAGAGTTTAGTTTTTTAACGCTTTAGTGAAACACAATAACACAAAGTCCTGCTGGTTCGAACCAAAGACCCATCAAATCCAGTTTGTTTCCTACAGTGGCCAACCAGATGCTTATGGGAACAAATACAGCATAAGTCCAATAGTCTGCTCTTGTTCCCCAGCAACTTTCAGAAGCATGTTGCTTCTAATCCTGGAGAACAGCATACAGCCATCATGACTAGTAGCTATTGATGGGGCTACTTTCCATGAATCTGTCTACTCTCTCAAATACTGGTGGTGGCCAGTGTTTGAAATTTGCCAGGTACATTTTGCAGCTGGCTATCAGCCACTTGCAGCCAGGTGAAGATGCCCGGGCGCCAGGATGGTGCCTGCCATCTTCACCATCTGGAGATGCATGCCTGGGAATCCTCGGGTCTTGAATGTTTTCACACACTTGCAACACATCCTGTAGAATTCTATCCATTATATTTTATTTGCACAATCAAAATGAATTTCAGGAACCAAAAAATCATTTTGAAAAATACAACTTTCAAGCTGTCTGGCCCCAAAATGGCAACCAGGCATTCTTTTTGGTGAATGCAACCCTGGTTTTAAGGAATCACCACCTATAATCACTACATCTTCTGGTAGAAAATTCAGTATATTACCTGTGTACAGTTTGTACAGTCATTGTGTGCTAATCCTTCTTTCACACAATTTTGTCTAATTCCAGCTGTTCATACACCAGGGCAGTTTCAAACATTGTAGGCAGATAAGCTGACACAAGTGTTCAGAAATGGCACGTAAGATGGAAACTTATCCAGTAGCTTCCTTGGTTGTTCCTAATGCTGTAGTTAGAGCTCTCTTTGTTCCTTCTTCAGGATAAGCTTAGATTTCTTCTTAGCTCCAAACACCACACCAGAAGAAGCAGTTTGACATATATGCCAGAAGTTTGGAGTGTATCCTTTGCCCTTGCTTTTTAGTAGGCACTTGTTATAGGTGATCCTAAGGAAGCAAAAAGCTAGTCTCTATCCTGCTAAGCTGTCAAGATAATACATACAGCTTTCTTTTTAAATATCCTTCATTTTCTGTTATTTTTTTCTGGGGCATTTAGAGTTGTATTTAATAGAATGAGTGATGATTGGAGGTCTCCTAGAATGTTAGTAAAAAAAAACTGGGGGATAAAGAAGAAAAGTTGGTGTTTGCGAACCTAAGTCAGTCTTCCATAATCTATTGTCCTTCAGGTGTTTTGGGCTTCATCACTGGCCAGTGGTCAGTGATGATGGGAGTTGTACACCAAAACATTAGAGGTCAGCACGTTGGGAAAGCCTGACCTAAAGTTCTCTTCCAGGCCACATAGTACTAACCTTCCTGAGTCTTCCTGATGGACGTATGCCTTGTTTTTATATCACTTGGGATCAGAAGCTACTGCTAGTTCCATCCAGGATTATCTTCTGTTTATCTGAGTTGACCTTCTGAAGCTATTTTCAGAAGAAACACCTTTTCAGCTTTTTGTTATATATTTAATATTACAGTGTCAAGGATCGCTGGTGTTACCACAATGGGATGAATCACCACTAAACTAGTTTCTGTCTTTTGAAATGTATTGATCTGCTTTGCACCAGTGTCTTAAAATGAAACTTTGACTCATTAAGACAGTAGCAACTACATGAAAGCTCTGCTAGTAGTGCTATCAATGGCATTGTCCAGATAGCAACACCTCTCTTTAGTGGCACCCCAGTTATGAAAATCCTTCCCATTGGAGGTGCAGTTGGTCTCCTTAGCAATTTTAGGCACTTTAAAAAATACATATTTATTTATTGAGGCTCTTGAAGGAAGTTCAGGCACTCCAAGGGTGTATATTTTGCTGGTCTGATTTACTTTATAACATTTAACTTAATGTGATTTTTTAAAGGATCTATCATATTTTTTATTGTGTAGTTTTGCAGCTGTTTATGTTGTATATCACCTTGCAATTTTTGGCTGGTGAGTGGTCTAGAGATAAACTAATAAATAATAATGTTTGACAGCATACAAAGAACCAGAGAAATGTGTATGTGTTAAACGCATAAAGGGATATTCTTCTTTACAATCGTCAAGGTGCAAATGCACTTTGCACAGTCTTTTATTTATTATTGCCAGTTAAGATGTTGAATTCTCAGGAATCAGTTTCTGCAACTAAAAGTATAACTATTGTGCTGCAACAGTATTAAAGATACAATATTTCCACCTTACATTTCATTTCTCTTTGTCTTTTTCAGAATTGTTTGGAGCCAAAATCCGTCTATGTTTGTGTCCGCTGTCTATTTTTAATATACTGCCCTACCTTGCTTGCTGTGAAGGGAGTATGCATCTGGAGATCAAAGTTGCTCTGAACTTCATCATCTCATATCTGTACAACAAGCTTCCACGGAGGCGGGCCGACTTGTTTGGTGAAGAGCTAGAGCGGCTGCTGAAGAAAAAATATGAAGGCCATTGGTACCCAGAGAAGCCCCTGAAGGGTTCTGGCTACCGCTGTGTTCACATTGGGGAGACGGTGGACCCCGTAGTCGAGATGGCAGCCAAGCGGAGTGGGCTGGCTGTAGAGGATGTGCGGGCCAATGTTCCTGAAGAACTGAGTGTCTGGATTGACCCATTTGAGGTCTCCTACCAGATTGGTGAGAAAGGGTCTGTCAAGGTCCTATATCTAGATGACAGTGAGGGCTGCAGTGCAGCCGAGTTGGACAAGGAGATCAAGAGCAGCTTCAATCCTGACGCTCAGGTGTTCGTCCCCATTGGCAGCCAGGACAACTCCTTGTCCAATTCTCCATCCCCATCGTTTGGCCAGTCACCCAGCCCCACGTTCATCCCTCGCTCTGCCCAGCCCATTACCTTCACCACTGCCACTTTTGCTGCCACTAAGTTTGGCTCAACCAAGATGAAGAAAGGCGGAGGAGCTGGAGCAGCCACCAGTGGCACAGGGGTTCCACCACAGCAGCAGCAGCAGCGCCTGGCCAGGTCGCCCACCAATGGCCTGCTGAAGCACAAAGGTCTCTCCCTGTCTATGCATTCTCTGAACTTCATCGGGGGCAGTTCGGCCCCTCAATCTCAGCTCTCCCCCAATGCCAAGGAGTTTGTTTACAATGGTGGATCGCCAGGAGCTAGCAGCCTCTTCTTTGATGGTGTAGCCACCGAAAACCAGGCCGGCGGCATGCCTCCTGCATCCCAATTCAGTGCCAGTGGCGGCGGCGGCAATTTTGACATGGCTCAGGTCTTTGGGGGCAGCACCAACAGCCTCTTTCTGGAGAAGACACCCTTCGTGGAAGGACTCAGCTACAATCTGAATGCCATGCAGTATCCCAGCCAGTCGTTCCAGCCAGTGGTTTTGGCCAACTGACCACCATGAGAGTATTCTGGGGAAAATAACTTCCAAAAAAAGAGAAAAAATAATTAGAAATATTTGAAATCTTATAAATATAGCTTCTTGGAAAGAGACAAATCCTGATTCGTTGTGTCATGCCAGGAAGCGCTGCTGAAGCACTGATTATTTTTTTAAACTTGTTTCCTGTGCTCTTTCCTATCCGTTGTTGTACACTTAATGAGGAAGGTTATTGTTCCAGCCCAGCAGTGGTGGGAGCCAGAGCCACTTTATATTATGTCCCATGCTGCTTCTTGGAACTGGTTCTCAAATATTCTTACTGCAAGGATGGCATTTTTCAGGGTACTGTCATGTCCCTCGCAGCCAGATACCTTGATTCCCCCCCCTCCCTGTTTTGGAGTGATGGGGGATGATTTAGACGGCTTCTGGATGTGTGAAGTCTCAAGCACTTCCTAGGGTAGGCCTGGGCTTCTCAATGTGTGATGAGAGGCCCAGACAGTGGAGCAAATGTATTCATTTCTCATAACTCAGTTTTTGTATTCCTATTGCAAAATGGGAGTAGAACAAAGTTCTCAGCTTCTGTTTCTTCCTGCGCTAACTGGTGATGGCAAGGCCTTAGCCCCTCTAGCTTCAGGGGAATGCTGGAAGGGGCAGCATTGTAGCATCTGGGACAGGTTTTTCCCCCCTACAGTTTTCCATTGTAAGCACCTCCTCTCCCCTTAGCCCCCTTAAGAGTCTGGAGTTAGATGTACTCATTTGGGAAGCTTAGATCCCGTGTCAGCTGCTAATGCTATGATGTATAAATAGGACTCTAGATGCAAACACTTCTGACTTGTGAGAAAAATTGATCCATGTATATTGCACTCTCTTTCAAGGGTAGGAGTGAGAGCTGGCCTTCCAGGGTTTGTTTTTTTGTGTGCCTGAGCAGCCCCCATTGATGTTCCTCTGGACCAATTGCCTTGGTTTATGGGGTTCTGAGCTCTTCTGTTGACAGCCGAGCATTTGGTTACTAATTCTCATGGAAAGAATGGTTTCCTGCTCTTGACTATGATAGCACTACTTTTTGGCAGGGAAGAGGGAGTTACAGTGCAGACTGCTTTCTGGATGAATAGCATGAGGGTTTGCACTTTGAATCTCATGTCTCTTAAGACTTCTGACCAAAAACCTTATGATTTTTCATTTGAAAGGAAGCAGGCATTCCTGTACGGAAGAGCGCCCCACATATCAGGTCCAGTCTGGACTTGTTCCATTTCGAGACTCTGCATGAGGAATAAAGTGGGCTTGCTGTAGAATGTTGCTCAACATGTGGTGAGAAGAAAGTGTTCTCTGATAAGAATGTAGAGTCTCTCCTTCCTTATTGTTGCTATTGAACTAGGAATCCTAATGGTATTCCCTGCATCTCCCTTTTCTGTCATGAGAGGACAGCCTGGAAGACAGGGACAGTAGTGGCCTTCAAGAGTGAGTTTTTCTTTTCTTTTGGCAGATGATTGGCAAACCTTTCCCCATCTATGCCTTGTGAGATAATTACGGAGTCCAAAAGTTTACTTCTCTATGGCGATAAGGGGTGAGAGAGAGCTTCAGGGGAGATAAGATAGATGTGGCTGTGGATTACATACTCTAGGCATATTCTCTCTACCATCACTATCTGCTCCCCACCCCCAAACAGCATGGTTTGGACAGTGTATAAAGTGTTGCTTTTGCACCTTCTCTGGCAAAGTCATATTGAATAAATAAGCTACAATTCTAGAGCTCTCCAGTGACTTGACCTGGAGACTTGCGTTTCCACTTAAGCTAAACTGAGGATTCCCTGTAGGACTGTATATGAGCCTTAACTGCTACAAGCATCTGTCCTCCTGTGAAGGATGCCTAACTCTGATGCACTAGAGATCATTCAGTGAAATTGATGGGAAATGTCTCCTGCCCAGGCCACAGTGATGTGGCTTATGCATGAGATCTTCTCTAGGTATCCCCAAGTTGAGCCCTTTTTTGTTTCTTTGTACCCCTTCTTACCCCTGCCTCTTTGCTGGGCTGAGGAAAAGGACACTAAAAAAGAAAAAACTTATTTGCATTCTGCCTGTTTTCTGTGAGCCACTAAGGGGTTGAGGAGGGAAGATACTATTGGGCAGTAATGTGATGGGTGAAGTTTCATGAAGCTAGAAGTCCTAAACCTGAACAAGACACGTTAGACCTCTTCAGTAAACACGTTTGTTTGTCTTCCCCCCACCCCCACTCCCAACATTACCACTGCCACCCACTTCTTTCCCCTCAACATGTACTGTAGACTGCCATGCTTTTACACTGGACTTCCTCCCTAGGAGAGCTGCTGGCTCCCTATCTGCCCAGCATAATCTCCGCCGAGAACTTCCACATGCAGCAGAAAGCTGCCCTGAGCCACTGCCTTGGGTGGGGTTATGTACCCTTCTCAGGCTTCAGTATATTGAAGGGAGGGAGAGAACCTCACTAGCACCTGCAACATGTGATGTTTCACACTGCTTTATCCTGTTAACTGCTTTTTGAAAAGAAGTCTGCGTTCATAAGGAGGAAAAGGGGAAGGACCAACCTCTGTATTTCCTAAAGGAACACATACCGTGCTTCAGAAGCATTTCCAGTGCTGGCGACAATGAAACTCACGGCCTCTTTTTTGGTCTTGTTGTCTCAAGAGTTAGACGTTCAGCTTCAATTTTATTTTTAAAACCTGCACTAATTTACCTGGTTTCTTAGGAAGAAAAAGAGATTTTTTTTAACTTTTATTTTTATGGGTTTGTGTTAATTTTTTTGTTGTCCGTTTATATTGAATAATTTGCTACATTTGTAAAATGTAAGAGGTATATATAATATATGTATATTTCTAACGTAAAAAAATTTGAACTTTTTTCTTTTCAAGATTTTTTCTTAGAGGAGAGAGAAAAAAATATTTTTTCAGGAAAATTTTAAAAAAGCAGCAGTGAAAGCTCCTTTTCTCCCCTCGCTTCCCTCCTTCCTGACCCTTTTTGAAGAGCGAATCAGCAACGTGTGATCTTGGAGTATGGATGGACACAAAGAGGACAGAATTATGTATGTTTTTTAATGCAGAGGTCCATGCTGTTCTTGTTTGGTTTTTTGGTTCTTACATGCAGGGGGCCATTGAGTAGGGATCCAGAGGGGGTTTTCATTCTTTTTCTTTCTTTTTTCTCTAGCGAAGGAGGAATACAATCAGAGTTTTGTATTCAGAATGTTGTGCAATATTTTGGAACAGGACATTGGCGTGTCTAGAGATTTAGTTAAAAAAAACAAAGGTTGATCAAATCTGTACAGTTTCTATTGTTCCAGATTTTTTTAAGTTTGTATTAAAAGCATGATATATAATAGCCTCTTGTCCCTGTTGTTTGTGCAAGGGCACTAAGGGTTTGTAAGGGTGGGAAATAGATTTTGGGGGGATTGGGAGGGACATTTCTCCAGATGGGTGCAGTAGTGTAAAGCCAGAAAGTAAATGTCCTGAAGACAGGCTCAGCTGTTTTGAGACATCCCCAGGGTGAGCGAGGAGCTCGCTGCAGAAATAGCACAGACCAGACGTGACTGATACCTGCTGAAAGCCACCTGGATGACAACTGGAAATGTTGCAACAATGAAATCTCCCAAAGTATGGTTGGAAGCCACTGAATGCCGTATATAAAGCAGAAAATGCTGTTTAGCACCATAATCTTTTCCTGGCTATTGCATCTTTAATTGGACTACATTTCTACCACAATGTTTCTATGTGGAAGTAAATTTGACTGAATTCAGTGAGATTTGACTTAACATTTGTGTATTAGAAGTAAGTCAGGGGTGTATGAGGCAACACCTATCTTAAAGGATACCAACATTTTCTAAAATTTCTGCCTTATATAAGAAAACCCTTAAGTGTATTGGTTATTCCAAATGCTATTGGTAAATGCAATCGGAGGGGTTTGCGAAAATACTTGCTTTGCTTCCAAATAGCGTTTAAAACATGGCAGCATGACAAGTGCTAGTGATTGTCGGAGCATGCAAAGTTAACCGTAACAAAATTACAAAAAGTGCCCTAATTATATGAATAAAATGAAAGCATTTTACTACATAATGCTATGCCAACCAAGAACTCAGAAAATAATGTTGCACTGGAGTTTTGTAATACTACTACCCCTGCTAGCCTGTAAGGTAAGATGTCAACTAGGATCCGCAACACACTGCCCTTATTCCTGGATTAAACAAAACTGGTTTTTTGGGTAGCAGTAGCAATCACCACTGGGGGCTTCTTGTGGCAGACTGTTTTAAGTGTTCAGTTGGCCCAGTGCTTCAGGATTTGTTGTCCTGACGTGTGCAAAGTGTATTATGATGGTTTCAACGTTGCTTGAGTGTTGATTGTAGCTGCATGCAATGGTTAGAAAACCAGTATTTTGTAAAGAATGTACAGTATTTGTCATGCAGCAGTTAAGAAGCCACCATTAAAAGGTAAAGGGACCCCTGACCATTAGGTCTAGTCGTGGCCGACTCTGGGGTTGCGGCGCTCATCTCACTTTATTGGCCGAGGGAGCCGGCGTACAGCTTCCGGGTCATGTGGCCAGCATGACTAAGCCGCTTCTGGCGAACCAGAGCAGCACACGGAAATGTTGTTTACCTTTCCGCCGGATCGGTACCTATTTACTTGCACTTTGACGTGCTTTTGAACTGCTAGGTTGGCAGGAGCCACCATTATGAGCACCTAAAAAAGGGAAAGTGTTTCCTTCCCAGTTAAGCGCCTTCCTCTAAGTAACAAACTATACCAAGTTTGGTCACAATAGTGCTTTGGTAGCCTAGCCAGAGCACCAAGTTCTAACATGTCTCCAGAAACTCCTGGATAGTTTCTCCCAAGCTAGGGTGTGGGGTGGTGGTTAGACATTCATCACAGGGGACTCCCATGTTAAGAGAATTTGAAATATTGAGTCATTTGAGAGGGAGGGATCCTACCTGAACATGGGTTATAATGTCAACAGCACTGGTATTTCTGCTTGCTGTCATTCCCTCTTAGGGCAACAACAACTTACAGCATGAGTCATCCATGAAGGGCAAGGGAGGGCTGTCGGAGAACTGAAAAGAAGGCTGATCTTGCAATGCTTAAGATATGAAGACAGAGCAACAGGCCTGGAGAAAGTGGATTGGAATGTAGGATTGCTGAAGCCTCAATTATTTAGATCATTGGATTTAAATAGGAGATACATGCTTCCCACACACAATAGCAGCTGGAAAATCACAGCTCACAGAGGGCCTTGCATTCTACAGCACTGCAAGCCCAGATTTTGCTAAATAATCCATTGTAGCTAGAAGAGTTTGATGTGGTAATATGTCTTAAGATTTTTGAGCTGTTCCCCAACGGTACAGGGGCTGGTGTAAAAAACCCCAGAGAAATAGTAATAAGGCTATCTACTGGTTTTACTTTTTAAGATTGCTGGCTTTTACATTATCAGTTCAGAGTTTATGTACATATTAGCAGTATCAGTCATGTTAAAACTTTCAATTTACAAAACATAACAAGATCCATACCAAATTCCAAGTTAGCTACTACCAATTAAAAACCAGAGTAAAAATGTCAGTTACACTGTTAAGGAAGAGGCTCAGGTTTTAACTTTGAGCTTCCACAATGTGGAGTTTTGGCAACTGCAAAGCAGCCATCTAGAATGCTTTCCCACAGGCTTCATTGATAGACAGAACATGGCTTTCTGAGAATTTCATGTACGTCACGGTGGAGTCCAAATATAAGAAAATGAAATATTTTTTAGGGAAGATGCATTTAGAAATTCACCTATTGTGTAGAAAACACAGTCAAGAATGTATACTTAAATATGAATTGGTACAGTTTCATAATTTGCATACTGATGCAAAAACGGGGTGGAACAGAGTTGCGTATGTGAAACTGACACAGATCAGAATCGGACTGATCCCTCCCTTTAACATCATTGAAACAGCAGGCAGGCACTAGAAAAGTGATGTGGCTTCCACAAAGTGTAAACCTTTGCATTTCTCCAATTCAAAATGTACCAATGCCAACTTTGCTGGCTGGACTTGTTGGAAGTATGGAGTGGGCAAAGGCAGAACAATTAACTGAGGGGGAAAAGCAGGCTTGCTAGATGTGCAAGACCCCCAACCAATTCAGGCTACATGCTGGGATGCTGATTTAATGTTCCTTTTCCCTTTCCCTGTGGCAGAGCTGGTCTCCTGGCACCTCTAGGTTAGTTTTGTCTTTCCTGAATGCCATGGCATGTCATAGGCTGGATGAGTGGCAGAACACACATGGTCCCTCTGAATCAGGCCCCACCTTCAAGGGTTATGGTTCAGGCTAATGCACACATTTCATGACTTGTATAAATGAACAGTTAACAAGATAAGTTCCATAACATCCTTCCTCTTCCCCACTGTACATTATGTTTCTTGCTCAGGAGTGTGATAATTCTATACCCTACAATGCAGGTTTGCGTTTGGGGATGTTAAGTCTGCCAACAAAACACAGGCAAGTAGGAAAGGCCTGGGCCAAGGATAGCCAGCCTTAAAACCTTAAGTGCCTGTCTGTGCTCTTACCTCTGCTTTTCTGGCTGCCCTCCAACTTAAGCTGAATGAGTCTCGTTCACCCTGACCCCTCCACTAATTCGCTGGAGGGGTTACGCTTCCAGGCCTCCTGCTCCTCCTCACCTCTGCTGTGCTGACCTCACAGTGTGTGTCACCTTAGACAACCTTTTGTGCTTATCAGAAACAATTTCGTCTAGTTTTTCTCTCTCCTTTAACTTCATTGACTTCCGTAATGAACGGCTAGCATTAATTAATATTGCAGTCATTCCCAGTGAGAACAAAACCTGGGCTGTAAATAAGGCAAAAACACTCAGCTGTAGGTTCAGGGGCAATTGCACGTTTAAAAAATTGCTGATTATTATTTGCAAATGCACAGAGTCACTTGCAGGGCTCATTGCCTTTGAAAGGATCAGCATATTTGAAAAGCAGGCCAATGTGTTCCTTTGCTGAGATGGCTTGCTCTACTTTAGCTTTAGGAACGATGTGAAATTATGTCACTGATGTAACACAGTTGCAGCAAGGTTCTATTTTTCTTTATCCCAGCATTGTGAGGATGGGGTAAAGGTAAAGGTAAAGGGACCCCTGACCATTAGGTCCAGTCGCGGACAACTCTGGGGTTGCGGCACTCATCTCGCTTTATTGGCCGAGGGAGCTGGCGTACAGCTGGGTTATGTGGCCAGCATGACTAAGCTGCTTCTGGTGAACCAGAGCAGCGCACAGAAACGCCATTTACCTTCCCGCCAGAGCGGTACCTATTTATCTACTTGCACTTTGGTGTGCTTTCGAACTGCTAGGTTGGCAGGAGCACGGACTAAGCAACAGGAGCACACCCCAGCGTGGGGATTCGAACCGCCAACCTTCTGATCGGCAAGCCCTAGGCTCTATGGTTTAACCCACAGCACCACCCACGTCCTGTGAGGATGGGGTACTCATGTCCAAAGAGTAATGTTCTCATTAAGGCCTGCTTCCATAAAGCCCCCTTTAGCAAGAGCTGGTGTGTTTGGTCCCACAAGAGGCAGTTGATGGCCACAAACGTGGATGGTTTTTGAAGAGGGCTAGACACACTTATGGAGAGTAAAGCTGGCCACCACTAACCCTGATGACTATGCTCTACCTCCACTGCCAGAGGCAGTATGTTTCTGAATACCCGGTTGCTGGAAACCGCAGGAGCTGCACTCAGAACCCACTTGCAGGCTGCCCATAGATATCTGGTTGGCCACATTGAGAACACAGTGCAGAACTAGGTGGGACACTGCTCTGGCCCAGCGGGCTTTTCTTGTGGTGTAATGGTTATGACGCTGGACTAGGACTAGGACAGTCCACTGATGCTGAACTAGGTTCAAATCCTTACTTGGCCATGAAACACTAGGGCTGGTGGTCTCTCAGCCTGACCTACAGCACAGAGTGGTTGCAAGGCTAAAATCGACTGTGGGGGGGGGACAGGTAAGAGAAATCATGTATTCTGCCTTGAGCTCCTTGGAGGAATGGTGGGATATAACCGTTAATTTTAAAAGGCCAAGCTTTCCCCCCCCCCCCGGAGACCAACAAGTGACAGAATGGGAAGTGTGCGGCAGGAGACAAAACAAGAGATAATAAGCAAAGTTCAATTCAACCTTCAGGTTTCTGTATCTGTAAATGAGACTTGATTCACGAGCAATACAGATGGGCATCTTTATCTACAAAAGGAAGGATTTTATGTTCGTTTAAAGAGCCTTTGAGTCAGTGAAGATAAAAGCTATTTGGCCTATTTATGTTGTGTGAATATTTAAAACTTCAATCCATAAATCATGAGTAGGAGAAGTGCTTTATA